ATGGATAAATTAAATTTTCTGACACTTACATGAATAAACTAGTTTTACGCTCTTTAATCTCTTCCAAAGCATTCAGGAAAAAGCTTCCTTCTTATTTTTTTTGCTGATAGCCCAATCCCAACAGAGCCAAAAAGTCAGGGGAATAAGGGCAAGATCTAGTGAAAAGGCTCTGAGTGAGATAAATCTCTCTCTTCCCACCCTCAAGAATCTTCTCTTGAATTGCTAGAAAATATAAGCATTACTTAGTCACTAGCTAATCAGTTTTCCTGGATAAGTAACTGCACTGAAAATCCCCTAATATTCTATAACCACCAACGACCAGCAGCAGTGTTCTCTCATCTCCCACCATATTTGATCACTGAATATAATTTTTTGTTTTTCAGATCTAGACAGTCCTGAAAATGCAGTGCAAATATAAAATAATACATGTTTTTCTACTTCCTAATTTTAAAACATGTCTAATTTGTCCTTCAATTTTTCTAACCTTTTGATATAAAGATTTAACCTAAGAGAGAAGTCCAGGCCATTTGTCTTTTAGAGATTTCAATTTTCTTGGTTGTAGTATTGTTTCAACAGACATTCTGGGTTATCAAAATACCTGCTTCCCAACGATTCATAAAACAGAGTAATAGGTGCCAGAAAAATGCTAGAGCCAAGGAGCTCTGGCACAGAACTCCTAAAACCCCTTGGAATTTCCTAAGTGGTAAGAGCAATAAGGTGAAAGGAATACCTTTTGTTATTCATACTAAGTCTCTTTCAACCACACCTGAGTTTATGTTAATGTGGTGATTTTGGGAAAGCCCAAAGTATAGAGAGCTGGTCACCAGAGGACCAACCATGTGTGATTAGTTGGTTGGGACTTTCCGCCCCACCACACACTCCCACCTCAGGGAAGGGAAAAGAAGCTGAGGTTAAGCTAATAACCAACAGTCAATGATTTAACCAGTTATTTCTATGTAAAGAACCCTCCATAAAAATCCTAACTGAAAGGGTTCAGAGACCTTCCAGATTGGTGAACCCAGGGAGGTGCTAGGAGGGTGGCTTACCTGGAAGTTCATGCCCTTTCCCACATATTCTGCCTTATGCATCTCTTCCACCTGGTGGTTCCTGAGTTGTACTCTTTTATAATAAACCATTAATCTAGTAAGTGAACTGTCTTCCTGAGTTCTGTTAGCCATTCTGGCAGATTATCAAACCTGAGGAGGGAGTTGCATGAACTCCCAATTTATAACCTTGTTGGACATAAGCTGTGGGTAACCCGAGAATCCACTATTTACAACTGGCACCTGAGGTTGGGGGTGGGGGAGCAGTCTTGAAAAACTGAGCCCTTAATCTGTGAGATCTAACGCTAACTCCAGGTAAATAGTGTCAGAATTGAACTGAAGAACACCCAGCTGGTGCTGGAAAACTAGCTGGTATGGGAAAAACCCCATATGCCTGTTGACCAGAATATTCTGTGGGTACTGTACAAAGGAAACAGAGTTTTCCTTTAGCTTGTGTTTTTTTTTCCTTTCACTACTATACTCGACAGTGCTCATAACCACTGTTGTATGCTTCTCTACTAAAAAAATATGTAATTTATTCTCAGAATCTAAGGACAGTTTTGTATTAGGATATCTATTCATAGTATTAATTCATCATATTAAAAAATAAGAAAAGCCATTTAAAAAAAAAAACCCAAGAAAAAAAATTAAGTCAGTATCCACCCCTACTTGATAAAATAAATCACGACAGAAATAGAAATCCTTCTATTATGGGGCACCTGGGTGGCTCAGTCGTTAAGCGTCTGCCTTCGGCTCAGGTCATAATCCTGGGGTCCTGGGATTGAGCCCCGCATCGGCTCCCTGCTCAGCGGGAAGCCTGCTTCTCCCTCTCCCACTCCCCCTGCTTGTGTTCCCTCTCTCGCTGTGTCTCTCTCTCTCTCAAATAAATAAATAAATAAAACACCAAATAAATCAAATCTTAAAAAAAAAAATCCTTCTACTCTATATCTAGAGCTAAAGCTCAAATAAAGTCTGGCATCATGGCTTAATGGCAAACCCTAGAAACAGTCTTACTAAATTTCTAACAACATTTTGACCTGTTCTGAAAGTACTAACCAATGTAATTAGACAAGAGAACCAAATAAGATGGATAAATATTAGAAATGAGTTGGGGTTAGAATAATTATTTATGCATAATGATTATTTATACAGAAAAAGCTAAGAGAATTAAATGAAAAACCATCAGAAACAAGAGATTTCTATAGAACAATTACAAAATATATAGCTGTTTTATATACCCAAAATAGCCAGTTATAAAAATATACTTTAAAAACAAAGCATTCAAGATCACACATACCTGGCTAAAAGGAATCAATGCTCCTTGGATAAGGAGCAAGGTAAGTACAAGATGAGCCCAGTACATCTCACACCAAAAATAATAATAATAATAATAAAGTAGTACTCAGAAAATGATGGGACTATATCAAATATATCAAAAGTACACAGGAGGCATCTTGAAGATCTTGCTGGCCAAAAACAGAACAAATTTGAGCATCAAAATGAATAAAGACGGGGTACCTGGGTGGCTCAGTTGTTTAAGGGTCTGATTTCGGCTCAGGTCATGACCTCAGGGTCCTGGGATGGAGTCCTACACCGGGCTCCCCTGATCAGCAGAGAGTCTGCTTCTCCCTCTCCCCGGGCTCGTGCGTGCTCTCTCTCAAACAAACAAAATCTTTTTTAAAAATGAATAAGGATATTAATGGATTATAACTTGTTGACTAAAAAAAAAGTCTATAAATCATTCTAATAAACAAGGAATATGGAAAGGTTTTCTCTTACAGAATCTCAACTAATAAATATAGAAGGAATTATAGAACTAGAAAAGTATTATTTTGCAACCAATGTTACAATAATCAATTCAGGCAAGACTCACTGATAAATGAGCTAAAAGTACTTCCCCACATACCACTTATTAATTTAAAAGAGAAAAATGCTAACTCTACAGTGAAGAAGCCTGACAGGTATCACCTTACCTGAGTTAATATTGCCAATAATGGGGCACACTAACATAGAGTGCCTCTTCATGGCCTATACTAGGAAGGACACAATACCCCTTATATAGCATTGCTGCCCTAAATTCATAATCTTAATCTAATCATGAAAAACACCAGACAAATCCTAAGGTACACTATACAAAACATGTAGTCTGACTTTTCAAAAATACCAACATCTGAAAGATAGGCTAAAGAACTGTTCAAACTAAAAGAGACCAAAAAGATAGGATAACTAATCGCAATAGATTTGATTCTGGATTTTTGTCATAAGGAATTACGAAGACAACTGGGAAAATGCGGATTATGGACTGCTGCATTAGTTTCTTAGGGCTGCTATAAAAAAAAAAAAAAGGCTTAGAACAACAGAAATTTATGCTCTCAGACTAGAATTTTGAAATCAAGGGTGTTAGCAGGGCCATGTTCCCTTTGAAACTCTGGACAGAATCCTTCCTTGCCTCCTCCTAGCTTCTGATTGTTGTTGGCAATTCTTGAGGTTCCTTGGCTTGGGCTGGATCACTCCAATCTCTGCCTCTGTTGTCACATGGCATTCTCCTCTTCTTATAAGGACACTGGTCATACTGGATTAGGGCCCACCCTAATGTGGTATGAATTCATCTTAACTTGATTACATCTACAACTACCCCATTTCCAAATAAGGTCACATTCACAGGTACTGGGGGGACTTAAAACTATCTTTCAGGAAAATACAATTCAACCTACCAACTGTATATTGGATAACTGTGTAATAGCATCATTAAAATTTCTAAATCTAGGGCGCCTGGGTGGCTCAGTTGGTTAAGCGACTGCCTTGGGCTCAGGTCATGATCCTGGAGTCCTGGGATCGAGTCCCGCATCGGGCTCCCTGCTCGG